TGGGGGCAGAGAGCACAGCCCCACAGGCTGCCATCCAGCCCAATTTCTGACCCTCTTTCCAGGAAATTCCATCTGGAAGGCCCCCAGTGCATGTGAAAACAGATTTAAAACCACAGCAAAAGAAACCAACCCACTCTGATTATTAGAAATGGGTTCAGGCTTATATCAGTGCTGCAGACACTCATCTTTAATTAATACACAAACAATTCCACTTTTAAATAATATATTCTTTAAAATGGAACAGTTCCACTACAGCAAACCTCAAGAGATACAAACTCCTGACTCAGCCACTATAACATTTCAATATCAAGCCTCAAAACTTCTGAGATTAAAGGGAAAAAAAAAGTGATTTGAGGTTTCTTGTTCGGCCTAATCAGTGCAGCTTTGCCAGCCCTACATCAGTTTTGTTCCCTGCTCTCTCCTCATCTCCCCCTGGGGGTGTTTCAATGTGTCCTTCATGGCTTGGCCAGGCTGTTCTCCCCCTGACAAAGGCCAGGACACCCCATCCCCATCTCCTTCAGGACAGAAGTCACCACACAACAATGGTTGCCTTCCTGACCTCTTCCTCCTGTAGGGAGGGCACAGAAGGAGGTCAGGCAAAAATCTTGGTTCTTGCTACCAAACACCTGATGTTTTTTTCCTAAGGTTTAGGTAAATCCAGGGAATTTTCACACAGAGTTGCGAAAAGCATGATGTTTTACAGGAGATGAATTGACAGCAACCAAAAGGACCTGAGTAATTTATCACAGAATCACAGAATAGAGTGGTTTGGGTTGGAAGGGAGCTTAGAGAGCATCTTGCTCCAACCCCTGCCATGGGGCAGGGACAACTTCCACCATCCCAGGTTGCTCAGAGATCCATCCAGCCTGGACTGGGGCACTTCCAGGGATGGGGCAGCCACAGCTTCTCTGGGCAGCGTGTGCCAAGGCCTCACCACCCTCACAGTAAAGTATTCCTTCCTGATATCCAATCTAACCCTGCCCCAGCTGGTTTCTGTCCATAATTTATCTGGCACTGGTTTTTGGTTTCAGGGTTTTTCAGGCCCCTCAGTGGCTGGATCACAGCAGGCCCAGCACCAGATTTTCTATGCCCCAAACAAACCCCAGCCTGTGAGGCCTTTAGGTCCCATATCCCTCTAGAGCATCACCTGGAGAAGGTGGGAATTCCAAGTATCTTCTTCCTCAGCACCTCTAAACCACTGACACAGCCTGTCCTGGCTGGGGTTTTGTCCATTTGTATTTCATCAGACACCAGGACTTTGTCACACCCACATTTCCATCCTGGTGCACCTGTTTTCCCATCTCCTGAAGGAAATTCTTACAGTCCCCCAACCTTCCAAGGGAGCAGAAAGATCTGGAGAACCAAGCACAGAGCAACCTCTTGGGTCCTGCCAGGTCTCTCCTCTTCTTCTGCTTGATGTGGAATTTGCAGCAAATTGCTAAACCTTTTTCCCCCCAAAGAAGAACAGAAGGAATTTGCATCTACGGAAGAGAGGAGAGGGTGGACCAATGGACTGATGTGTGCTGGTGCAATGGCTCCCAAGTCAGTGATCCGAGCAAGAATAATGTGTTCTGCTGGTTTGGAAAATTATTGTGAACCACAAGGTGTCTCAAGGGATGGGGAAGTAGAAATGAAGTTCTTAGCTCTAACAGACTAAGCTTTTGTTGATATACTCTGAGATCTGGAGTTGTGGGCTTTTTATCCCCCAGGAAAGAGATCAAAACTGAAATTTCAGATTAGTCTCAGCAGCCTGATATGTTTTTAATGTTTGATGTGAAAAACCAAAAGCATTATTGTTTTCAAAATTTATACAGTTAGTTCTCAATATCCAGAGGACATCTAACAACATCCACAAGCCTGAAGTCATCCAAATTATTCAATTTATTTATGGGGTTTTTCCCCATAGCTCAATAAAACAACAAATAATGCTTTCTGGCCTGCAAATGTCCTTGAAAATGGACTTTTATATATATATATATATATATATTTGTCCAGGAACAGAATCTGAAGGTGCTGGGACATGCAAATCATGGAATATTTCCTTCAGCCATTATCTGATTTCACAGCAGGTTAAATCCTGGGTTTGTTGTTACTGATGAGTGCCCAGACTGTCCCTAATAATGGAAATTTCACAGCCTCCCAAGGTTTTTCCTGAGGTTAATCAAAATTTTTGAAGAAAAAACTTGAGATCACACACTTCTTCAGCAACTTAGATCATTAGGTCAGAGAGATTAATTTTCTTCACAAATCCTCAGTATAGGTAGATCTTTTTGGGGAAGAATAATGTTAGGGATTCATGTCAGTATTTTAGGGTATAATTAGTGCAGGTCCAATAATCTGTTGAATTCAGCCTTGATAAAAGCCTTGTTAATGCAAAATGGATTATGAACACGGGTGTGTGCAACAAAGGGAAATTCAAGTGCCTTGAACAGGTAACACACATGCAGAAGTGTAGGAGAATAGAGACTTGGCAAGAATGGGGCACCAGAAGTGCTTTTAATGACTCAAAAAAAATTAAATTCACCATGATAATATACCACAAAATATGCATGAATTGCAAGAGATTTAAGTAGAGGAAGGTGAGTGGAAAACAATAAGATAAATTCACAGGAACCTGAATTCAAACACAAACATTATTTTTTCCTGGTGAATAGAAGCAATGAAAACTCAATTTGGACTATTAAAATTAAGAACCATGTAAAGGTAAAAGTTCGATAAAAAACAACAGAGATTTCCAGCTGCTTTAGGTCATAAACCCGACCTAACTGCAAAGCATCTCAGGCAATAACCCTGCAACAAGATCTGATCACTCTTTGCAAAGTTCCTCAGTGATGATAGCCTGCCTATTAGGAGAAGATCTGTGTTCCCACTGTGTCTCCAAGGATCCCTCTGACACAGCAGAATTTCCTTACATCCATGTCTGAGCTCACCTTGGTCATGAATTTCATGGCACCCATCCCTGCTCTTGTTTGGGGCAGAAAGGGCCATATTTTCTTGTAATATTTTTCCTGGGAATCCTGGGACCAGATCAACATTGTGAATGTGCTACAGCAAAGTAAAGTGACAAATATCTGCCTCTACCCCTCTCCTCATCTTGCAGAGGGAACCTGGCTGTCTCTCTAGATCTGAGCCAAAACAAAGCTTAAGAAAACAGAGTCAGACATTTCACAGCATCTGGAGAGGCTGTAAAGGTTTTATTGAATCTTTCTATGGTAGTGACAGCACAGCATTTCACACTCCTGCTTCCCTGAGGCTGACTTGTGAAAAAAGCATGTGCCACTCAAATGTGGGAGCTACATAATCAGCAGAGGTTTTCTAGACAAAAATGGAAAGAGTCACAGCCAAGCATCATTTAGAGAGGAGCAAAAAATGGTCTCAGTAACCCAGCAAGTGGCATTTTAACCAAGAGAAAATTGTACCCCAGCTGTAGCACCACTGGACAACAAGCAACAAGAAAAAGCCATGAAAACAAGACCAGGTGAAGAACAGAAAGGCAGTGCCAGATCACAAGAGACAGCATCTGAAATTTTAGTTTAGGCTCCTGGGGCACTTTTCCCTAGAATTTTCCTATTGCAGAGGAAATTCTGTCACTCTGCTTTGACATCACTGCCCATTTGTCCATTAAACAAGGATCCTGGAGGCACACACACACCTGCCTCTGTCCCAGGGAAAAACAAGTGGTTTCCTGGCAGACCAGCACATGAAATCTCATTTCATGTGAAACATAAGGTTTGGAGTAACTAAATGCACAACTATTTTCCAGATCATAATTTTCTTGGCAGACCAGCACATGAAATCTCATTTGATCCTTTTTCATGTGAAACATAAGGTTTGGAGTAACTAAATGCACAACTATTTTCCAGATCATAAACTTAATTAGAGCAGCTTAGTCATCTATGTGCAGTCATGTAACGAGTCAGGGGCTGGGAATGCAACTTTCTCTCTCTGCTGGATCTCTCTCTTCTTGTTACAGGCTGACCCTGATATTAAAACTGTTCTTTTGCTGCCTGCTTACTACTGGGGAAGTTCAGCACTGCAAATTGGGGTGCAGGCAGGCACTCAGAGAGGGTGTCTGCATCCAGCCCAGCTAAGAAACATCCTTCAAATGCATGTAAATACAAGGATTTTCTGATGCCTGATTCTCAGGTGAATACTTCAATGATATTTCATTATTAAATGAAGCTTAGGGTTCTGCTAAATACAAAGAACTGCATCTTCTTTGGTGCAAAATGCCATCACAACCCTGTGCTGACCTACAGTCTTACAACTCCATTCTATCTGAGAGCAAAGTTTCTGCAAATGCTTTCTCCCTTTTTGTAAGGGAATGTTTTGGGATACTGATTTTAATTTCTTACTTTGAAATTAACCAATGATCAGTATAAAATCAATACCAATAATATAATCAGTATCAAACCTATCAATGTTTTAGGCTTCTGGTATTGACCAAAGACAAAATGATAATTCTCTTCCAAATTCATTCTGTAATAAAGACAATGCCAGATTTGGGCAGAATTTCAGAAAGACTAATGGAAACATCAGTCCAAAAAGGACAATATTTATAAGAATTACATTAGACTGGCCAGTCCTGTTACATCAAGAAATCATCCCTGGTTATATCACACATGCCTGGAGACTCCAATGCCTTCAGAAGGGGTGGAGGAGAGAAAATAATAAATGACAACCGTGCAATATCAAAACTTTCAGGAATATTTTTCTGAATTTCTTAGGTACATTTCAGAAGGCTGCATCCTGACATCTTCATTCCTGTGATTAAACATTTTATTCCACAAGAAGGAGAAGAAAAATAGAATAGCAATCCAAAGAATTCTCTGAGAAACTAAGAATGGGCAAAGATAATATGAAAATGGCCCTAAATTAAGAATACAGTGAAAATAGGTAAGGTAAGCACCCTGGTGTTTATCTGTTTGCCATTTTGCACCTGCATGTAAATACCCACACTTTCAGCACCTTACCAGAACAGGAGAAGAAAATGGACTTACCTTATTAATGAACTCTGTATAGAGCATCCCTCCTAGAGCTCCACAGCTGCTTTTATTTCAAAGTCTGGACTACAGTGATCTGTAAAAGCATAAATCCACAGTGCTCTGATGTGTCAAGTTTTAGAGTTCAAGAGGGAGAAGGGAAAATCATTCTGTTCCTCAGCAGGAGCCAATCTCCCTCCTTCTCCCCCTTCCCGTCCCGGACTCCCCGGCTCTGGATTCTGCTGTTCCTCCCCCTCTCTCTCCCCGGTGCTGCTGCTGCCCATCATCCATCTCACCCCGTGAAATTCCCTCTCTGGAGCATCCTGCCCCTCTGCCGGTGCCAGGCAGCTTCCCAAAGCGCAGGGGCTCCTCAGAGGGAGGGCAGAGCAGGGGGCTAAGCCAGAGCCAGGCAAAGTCTGTCACAGCACATGTCACAGCCTGCTGGGTCCCTCCTGCCAGGGCTGCTGGAATCCTCTGCATGCCCCCTCCCCCAAAGAATGGGGGATGTTTTAAACTTGAAGGTGCTTTTTTCTCACCAAGTTATTCTTACTTTTCTGGTAAGACAGGAAAAAAGACCTGCAGTACTAAAAGTTGCTCTCACAGAGGTAATAAAAGCTTTGTTCAGTGTTGCATTTCTGGATGGTAAAAAGGTGTGTGTAAATCACCATCACTACCCCAAACTCAGAAAATTTTATGTTAAGTGGAACTCTTTCAATCTTCACTGCAGCAAAATGAAATCTGAAGCCTGCAAAATAAATTTGGAAAGATGAAATACAGGGATTGATCCTCGATTTTTCTTCACTGAGGCAGATTTCTGAGTCTGTACAGATGAACCTCAGAGTCAATTCTCTTTCATAAGCTCTGGTGAAGAATCACTTTCCTAGGTAACACAGCAAACTGAACCCAGTCCTGAATACAAAAAGAATATTGCAGCAAACATTTTTAGATGCTTTGTAACACTACACTTACCCCATCTCCTTTCTAGCAGAGGCTAGGAATTAAGGAGCTGCAGAAGTCACTGAAAGAGTTTAATAAATTACTTCTCTTGACATTTTAATATTAAAGATAAATAGAGATTATGACACTTTTGGTTTCATTTTAGAAAATATTGTCATGACTTCATGGATGTCTTTCTATGCTTACCAAAGGTGGAAGGATTGTATTCTAGCAGTAAAGGACAAAAATAAGGATTCTCTCCTAAAATAATAGTAGAAGATAAGAGGCAGCAAATGATTTCCAGAAATACTGAGATTTGTCTGAGCCAGGGCAGAGTCTCACAGTAAGGCAGGATACCACTCTCTGACGGTTACATAAAAAAAGAAAAAAAAATATTGTCATGACTTCAAGGGTGTCTTTCTATGCTTGCCAAAGGTGGAAGGATTGTGTTCTAGCAGTAAAAGACAAAAAAAAAGGATTCTCTCCTAAAATAGTAAAAGACGATAAGAGGCAGCAAATGATTTCCAGAAATATTGAGATTCCTCTGAGCCAGGGCAGAGTCTCACAGTAAGACAGGATACCACTCTCTGATGGTTACATATAAAAGAAAAATAACTTGTTTTCTCATTTCCTTATGAAAGAACTGGGAGCAGCCCAGTTTTGGGTACAGACTGGCTCCAGTCAGTTCACCCTTCCTTGGCACACTCGGGTCCTTCAGCCCAAAAGCACGGCATGCAAAGGGAGGAATCATGAAACTCCAGAAAGGGACTTTCTAACCGACCCAAAATCCAGGGTGCACCATCAAAGACCCCGTGTGGCAAGTGCCTTGAGGCCAGTTCACTGCAGGATTAACAGGAGCACAGAGCTTTATGCTCAGCTGCTTGGAGGCTGCTCTGCAGAACACACTCATCAATAATGCCATGTTTTATTCAGGGGGTGAAGAACCCTGGCAGAGAAAGGTGAAAAGTACATGATTTTCCAAAGAGAAATTTCACTCTAGGTAAGAACTTCAGTCTTCCAAACTGTCAGTGTGTGTGCCAAAACAGGAACCTGGTGCAGATACCAGGAAAGTTCTTGGGATGTGGAGTTCTGAGCCCCCCAAAACCTCCCTGTGCTGCTGCCCCACAAGCCTGGGGAAGAGCCCAAGGTACTGCCTGCTTTGTAGGTGTAAGGGCAGGGACACCTGGTGTCCTTTTCACCTCCAGTCCTTCACATCAACATGGAGCAGAGCAATAAACATCAGCATTTAGTGAAGGACAGCAGCATAACTCAGGATGGGCATGATTTGGAAAATGCACAGGTAGAAAAGAAGGAAAAGATGGGTGTAATTTAGAGCATCATCCAGAGCTCTTAGCACTAGGAGAGAGCAGGAACATAGTTCTGCTCCAAACAGTAATTGCTTTAAAGAGGACTTTGATAGCTGCTACAGAGTCAAAAAACAGTAAATGTGAAATATAAATCAAAGTCCTTCTGGGGCATGTCACTTATATCGAGGAAAGAGTTTGCAGAAATCATGGCTAGCAACTCATGAAAGCTGGCCATGGGAGGAAATTGAGTTTATTCCCCAGTTTATTGCAGGTGGTGACATTGTCATTGTTAGTAACAGATCAATGATGTTGTCCTCCTCTTAGCTCCCATCTTAACTGGTCTTACTGACTGGTCCTGACTTGCTTTCCTTGCTCAAGCAGCAAAGTAGTCAGGGCACTAAAGTCTGAACAGCAAAATAAACAAAGTGGGGAGAGGGTTATTTTTTTAATCACAGTCCTTGTCCAGTAGCTTTAAACCTTGGACTTGCTCATATTTGGTAAGATTCAGTCTTACTACACATGGCAAAATCTCAGCAAAAAAACACATGTGAGTGAAAGTCTTGGCACAGTAAGGGTTCATAGATGGCTGGAAAAGAAGTTCACTTACAAAAATAGTACAAAAATATTCCCAGGCAAACCACAAAACTGAGGAATTTTAGAAGATTTTGGTCGTGCCAGGCCAGGCTGAGGATGTTGTTGAACATTGTGAACTGTCTCATGAGCTAGTTCAGGCTAGTGAAGGGGTGAGACTCAAGGATTCAAGTTGTTTAACAATTTTTGCAGGAATCTCAGAGGAAAAAACCCCACAGTTTGGAAAATGTTCCACTGACTGAAGAAAACTAAGAAACTGCTGGTCTCCCCAAGCTTGCATGAACATAAGTGGCATGTACCATGAGAAGCAGAGGAATAAAAACCAACATTGAACATGCTTGTAAGGACAGAAAACTGAATACTTTATTGATTTTTTAGAAAAAAATATATACAGGAAAAAAAAAGTACAGAGAAAAATATCCTTCAGCCTACCAGTTGATTCATTCAATTATTTTTTCTATTTTTAAAGCAGCTTTTTAAAAAAATATTGATTTAATGCAATAGGAAATAAAGAACAAATTAGAACGGCAGCATTTCCATTATGATACACCACAGCACTGCAAGGTGTCTTTTCAACACACCCCATGAAGCACAGCCAAGCTCCATGCTCACTGCTCAGCACTGTGGGGAATCCTGGTGCAGCACAAAGAACACCAGGCAGGGCAAACGTGGTCGTGTGCCAGGGGCAGGGTGTCTGAAATGATCAGTGCATTTGCTCACATGGTTATTAAAAAAATAATAATTGTGGCTTGATGCTTAATGTCACACTGGTCAGCTGAGATAAAAATTAACTCCCTGCTCTGCTTAAGTGATTTCATCCTCAGCCACAAGAACTGGAATGAAAGAAGGGGATGTGAGTGCAAGGGCTTCATCCATCTGGATGTGTCAAACAAAACTGCTCCTATTCCTGTTATTGTCTCATTGAGAAACAGATGCCAGGACTCATTAGGGGGCCAGGCTGTGCCATCCTCCCTGTCACACACTGCAGCATGTGACACAGTCAATTAACACCACGCCAGTGCCAAGCCTGAGGCCCAGAGGGGCTGGGTGAGGTGGGTGCCATCCTCCCTGGGGGCTCATTTCTGTCTGCCAGAACGTGTTAACTGAGCCATGGACTCTGCTGGGTCTACTCACTCCATTTTGAATGATATTTTAAATATCCCTGCTGAGGCAGGATTTGCCAAGTGGAGCAGTTTTGGTCATGCCCAGGTCTTCCCCGCTGGCATGACACTGGAGGAGCTCTACTGCCCTCACCCTTGAGACCTTCTCCACAGTGCCCAGCCTCTGGAAGGGAGATAGCTTGCTCAGCAAAAGTATAGGGTAATAGCCAAAATAAAATATCAAAACACTTTTCCCCCACCCTCTCTTTTTCCAGGGCTCAGCTCCACCCTCATTTTCTGACCTTCAGCAGAGCACAGGGAAGGGGGCTGTGCTCAGTCCATCACATGGTGTTTCTGCTGCTCCTTCCTCCTCACAGGGAGGACTCCTCACATTCTTCCCCTGCTCCAGTGTGGCCTTTGTCTCCCAGGAGACAGATCCAGGATGAACAGCTCCAGTGTGAGTCCTTCCCACGAGCTGGAGTTCTGCTCTGGCGTGGATCCCTCCCACGGGTTGCAGTCCCTCAGGAATGGGCTGCTCCAGCAGGATCCCCTGCAGGTTCACAAATCCTGCTCCCGCGTGGGCTCCTCTCTCCATGGGGCTCCACGTCCTGCCAGGACCCTGCTCCAGCACAGGCTCCCTGCAGGGTCACAGCCTCCTTTGGCATCCCCCTGCTCTGCTGTGGGCTCCTCCCTGGCTGCAGGTGGATCTCTGCTCCCCAGGGTCCCCCTGGGCTGCAGGGGCATGGCTGCATCTCCATGTCCTCACCTTGGGCTGCAGGGGAACCCCAGCTCCAGCCCCTGGAGCAGCTCCTGCTTCTCCCTCTGAACTGACCTTGGAGTCTGCAGAGCTGCTCCTCTCACACATTCTCACCCCAACTGGGAGGCTTTTTTCCTTCCTTCTTAAATATGTAATCACAGAGGCCATTTCGTCTCACTAAGAACGAAGAGCTGAGAGTAGTCAAGTGAATTGCCCTCTAAAAATGCCAAGTTTTCTAGAACTGGAGAACTAGGTCTAAAATTAGTCCTAACTAACTTTTCCTCACACATCCCTCCAAAACACCTTGCACCAACCTCCACTGCAAACGTAGGCAACCTGTCCTTTAGCATGCCTGCATGGAGCAATGAATTTCTCTTACTAAGGCATATAAAATCTGTGTGATCAATCA